CACCCCGAGTCCGTGCCCAGCCAGTGTTGTTATTAAAGAGCCTGAAAGTCTCAGGAACAGAGTCCTCCTCTGGTTTCTGGGCCGATGGACATTTCCACGGACAGATGGGATTTGGGTTTTTCATGAATTCAAATCAAAGTTGGTGAGCTGTTTTCAGAAACCAGAAGGGACAGGGCTAGGATGACTGACTAGTTCAGTAATCAAGATAAATAGCATTTAGTGTAATAAAAATTAAAGTTAATACCAAAAATTTCATGGTGAGTATCATACCAAAAATTTAAACAAAGACAACGTTAATGTTTCTAATTTTCTCCTCTGCCTTTGGCTCCAAGAGACTCAGTCTGATCAGTCTGCTTGTCCAGCATTTCCTGGAGGAATTCACCAAAGTCGAGGTTGTGGGTATCCTCAGAGTCTTCCTCTGAAGCATTTGTTTCTTTTCCTTTTTTTTTTTTTTTAAAGAATTATCTTCTCAGCTGGAGCCTAGTTTGTTTGTTTGTTTGTTTATTTTTGACTTTTTGAGAGAGGGTCTCACTATGCAGTTTAGGCTGGCTTTGAACTCAATTTGTAACCCAGGCTGGTCTTGAACTTGCATCTGCAAGCTCAGTTTTTTATGAACACATGAACTTAGTTCTTTTAAACGAAGCCATAAGCATGGAAAACAGAACATGCAGGCAGCAGTTGACCGCTCCTGTGTCCCTCTCCCTCCTGTGCCCACTCGCCCTCCCTGCGAGCCGTGGCTGGGACCGCAGCCCTGGAGCCGGGATCACAGACGGTGCCACTTCCCAGCTGCTGCACCAGACAGTCAGAGCCGCTGCCTCTCTGTGTTCTCTGACCATTCTGCAGGGATTGCCCACTGTGCTTTGACCTTGGGTAGAGGTGGCCCAGGGTCAGCCTAGGGCAGCAGGGCCACAGCAGAGCAGGGCCAGATCTGTGCAGGTGGGGTTGTGACCACTTAGACAGTGGTAGAATTCACTGTTTACCTGGGTCACAGGAGCTAGGTTGCCTTTCTGCGGTTCTATGTGCAAACTCAGTTGGAAGTGAGACCCGAGGCCTTTCATGACAATCGGATTTGCGCCCAAGAACGCTCTTGTTTAGCCTGTAAGAAGCTCTCCTTTGCTCCCTTTGGCTTCTGTGAGAGGAAGACCTTTCTGAACTGACTGTTTAGCACACACCTTGGTGGCATATCAAACCCTCTCAACCTGTGCCTCTGACCAGACATTTCCCCCCAGCCCATCAGGTCTTCCTGTCCACCATCCTTTACGGGCTCCATAAACCCCATTTTGAAAGTTAGTCATAGAGCAATGTTTCTCGAGTACTTTCTGTGTGCCAGGCACTAGCCAAACCTTTTTCCTTAATTAACCCATGTAACCATTTTAACTGCCCCTAAGAGGTAGAGATCATTGGCCCCAATTCATAGATGAGAAGAGCTGAGGCCCAGAAATGTAAGTTAACTTGCTTCCGGGTCTCACAAGTTGGCCAGTGCTGGGACCTGTGTTGGAACTGGACATCCTGGCTCTAGAGCTCACGTTAGTCACTGCCTTACCTCAGACTCATTTTGTGTATTGGAATTCCCTAGAAGAGCACAGTCAATATACAATACATGTGGAATTATGCAGGGGATGTTAGTTATGCTTACAGGATCAGAAGGTGGGGAGTCCCAGTGGCACAAAGGTGGAATCAGAGGTGGGAGAATTCAGAATGGCAGCCTGCACACTGCAGCTCTGGCCATGGCAAAGGTGGCTTTGAAGGTGGAGGCCTGGAAGTGTGCTGTGAGTCATGCTGTGGTCCACGTAGGAAGTCAGAGGGTCTGCGCTGGAAGGCTGAGGGCACTGGTGAGGGGAGGGAAAGTCTTCCCCCTTCTTTCCCTTTTTATCCCGTCCAGGCTATAGGCCGATTGGTTGGCACCTCCCACATCCGGGGTGGGGTTCCCATGGCCCCAGTGTCAATCATCTGCAGGACACCCAGAGCTTTGCTAGTCTGTATGCGGTTCTTACTGGAGTCAAGCAGACACATCACAATTCATGAGGACAGAGAGACACTTACCCCTCAGAGCCGCTTCCTCCCCTTCCTCCAGAGCATCTCCTCCCTGGCGTCTCCAATTGGCTGCTTCTGCTGGGAGCTCACTCCTCCCCGCACTCATGATCCTGAGCACTAAACCTTCCCCTGCACTCTCCCATTTCCCCTAGCGATCTGTGTACATTCCTGCAAATAGGGATGTTGTTCACTGGAAATTCTGTTCCCTCTTAGAGAAGCACAATGTTGACTACCGAAAGGGCTCCGTCCTTTGTGCTGAATGAATAGAAATGATTGTCACCTTGGGGGCCAGATCTTCACTGCTGCGTATGTGCCTTGCTCTGTGTGGTGTAAAGGAGGATCATGGTCAGCAAACTGCTGGAGAGCTGGACCATCTCCTGAGGATGATCTTCCGGATAAAATCTTTGCAATGGTTTTTGGGGGTGGAGGTCTTAAATTTCTAAATACAGAAGCTAAGAAATTTTTCCTTGTATAAGGTAGGAAATACCTTGTGGAAGGAAAATAAAATCCTGCCAAACCTTTAAAAATTTCTCAGTAAAGGTCCCATCAGAATGCTCAGGAGTCTGTCCAAGGCCAAGTGCCCCAGGTGGAATCTAACTTCCCAGAGAGGGCTTTCTCACCGAGAAATGGCAAGTTCCCCTGGTGTGTGTGTGTGTGTGTGTGTGTGTGTGTGTGTGTGTGTGTGCTTGTGTATGTGTGTGTGTGTGTGTGTGTGTGTGCGTGTGTGTTCCCAGAGAGTAATTGACAACCACCTCAAGGAGTTCCAGGATGTGGCAGTGACATGCTGGGGCTGGGGAGAGTCTGTAGGGCCGGATTTTCATAACCCAGAGGCATTGGTGCCAGAGACCAGAGCGCCTGCACTTCCCCTTAGGACTCTGGGTCAGCTGAGCGCTCTCCTGCCCTCACCAGCCCTCCTTGTCCCTTGCTGGCCCAGGTGCCTCGCTTCCTTACCTCCACTCAAGCCGTTCTGACCTTCGGCCCTGCCCTGCCCTGCCCGCTGATTCCTGAAGGGCGTCCTGTCTCAGCTTCCTCGGGGCTGCCCTCGAGTCCCACAATCAGCTAGCGTGGTAACGGGGTGCGTGTGTGTCTCCCTCCCAGGCAACCCCTGTGTTGCTGTTTTCTTTTCCCTCAGACACAGACAAGTGGGGAGGCTGCAGGAGCTCACAGATAACATCAGAGTTTGTTCGGCCTTCTTGTTGCTTTCACTGTGGCTCTGAAGGTGCTCCTGCCCACCCCAGAATGGCATGTAGCAAAGCTTCCTCCGCTGCGTGTGCTGTAAGATGTGTTTCTTTTTGGTGGTGGTGGTGGGGAGTGTGCTGATATGTATAAATAAGAAAATATGTTAAAAGCACAGTCTCATCACCACCAGCAAAACACAGGCAGGATGCCCACATCTCTGTCTCCTTGGCAACAAAACTTCTCACGGACATCACTCTGACAGAGGAGGTGAAGGGACCACGGTGCCCAGGTTCTCATCCAGCCCTGGCCGGTCCTGCTTGGGAGTCCAGGTCTGTCCACTGTGACAGAGGTAACTGTGCACCTCAAGTTGTCTCCAGCCGGACGTTTGGCCCTCCTCCTTGGCTTCCTTCTGACTGGGTGGTGGGAGTCAGCCTGGAAATTTCCTTTTGCTCTCTTTTCCAGAGCCACTCTCACCCTCCCTTCCTCCTCCTCCTTCTCCTTCTCCATTTTGACTCCTGGGATGTGGGGTGCCCCACTAAGAGAAAGATCTCATTTCTTTTGTTGCTGGGGGTCAGGAGGAGGAAGAGCCCATTCCATGCAAGAGAACTATCTCTGCTTTGACCTACTTTGGCCTCCCCAGCATTGGCCATTGTGAACTGTATAGATTCCTCCTCCACCTTCGTGGGGAGACTTGATTGTCTCCCAGAGCTTGACAGAACACGTCACAGGTCTTCTTTTCTTGCCCATGCAGGCATCACTAATCGATTGTGATTTTCCACTGAGCCTGGAGGAGGGCTGCATCCCAGCAGGCTGATCAATAATTGTTTGACTGGCCCCGCAGAGCATCACAACCACGTTCCTCTGTTCCTGATGTGTCCATCATCTGTGCAAGAGGGTGAGCTGGCTGGTGGGGAAGCTCTTCTGGTGTCCACAACTCACAAGGAATAGGGTCAGGGGTGGTGGAAAACAAGCTGATCCTTACCATTCTTGTGAGCTTAGCTTCAAGGCCAGAGAGCTGGCCTGGCTCACCTGCTCTGGGTACTGATATGGCGTCTCCCTTGTCTCTCTCCTGAAAAGGAAACCACGGGAACCCACATGCCCTGGGGGTAGAGTAGCCTTGCTCCCTGGGCAAGGACCAGCCCTGCATCATGGTGACCTGTGCATTTGCTGGAGGACGAAGAGTGTCAGAGGCTGGGACGCAGCCTGGTCCCTGCCAGCTCTGCCCGGCGTGGTGGTCCTGCCAAACACCACACATTGTCCTTGTCTCCTGCTGGGATTTGGATGCCGCTGGGGTGCCCTGGCGGGATCTGTCCAAATCCATTCAGAATCGAATCTGTCTTTGGTGGGGAATTTTGGCCGGGTCCCCAGTCTGTCAGACAGTCTCCTCTGCCTTCTTTACCGTCTGTCTGTGGGATTCTGGACCTGCATGTTCCTCCTCGAGCCAGTTCAAACGATCTGCGGCTGCTGGAGGGTGGAGGTGGCTGTGCACCGTGCGTTAGAGACGCCCAGATGTGTTTAATTGAAGCGGCAGTTCCACAGCAGGGTGGATATAACTGGTGTTCTAAGCCAGAAGCTCCCACTTTCGCTAGGATGCCAGGAAGTGGGTAAAAAGATTCAAACCACAGCAGCAGAAGAAAAGATGTCTCAGGGATGGGGCTCTTTTTCTGGGTGTGGTTCTGAGTTCCTAGCTGCCCAGAAGTAGGTCTTGCTGGGTGAGTTCTTTTTTAAAAGCAACTTTATTGAGATCTAACTCACAGATGATAAAATTCATTGGCTAAACATGTGTATTTCAGTCATTCTTACTTTATTCATAGTTGCGTATGACACCAAAATCACAGAACAAGTTTGGCGCCTCAGGGAGAAACCCTGGACCCCTGCCACCCTGCAGCCCCTGGAAACCATGACCCGTTTTTTCTCTAGCTCTGGCCGGATGCGGACATGTCATGGGTCCAGTATCTGGCTGATTTCATTTCCAGCATCATCCGTGTCGTCCCAGGACTTCTTTCCTTTCTGGGTGAAATACTCTTCTATTTTACCCTGACCCTGCGTTTTCTTCGGCCCACCCATTGCGGGGCACCCGGCCCAGCTGCGTTCCGGCCATGATGCTAATTAGTGAAGACAGTTCTGGACCAACACACATGTGTAAGCTTTTTTTTTTTTTGGTACCAGGGACTGAACTCACGACCTCACGCTTGCCAGGCAGGCCCTAGGCCGCTGAGCTAAATCCCGGCCCCTCCGCGTGTACCCTTTGGGGTGGGGTTGTGCAGAGGGACACTGTTTCCACAGCAGTTACCTGACTTTACGCTCCTAACAGCCTAACAGGGTCTCAGGGTCTTTGCTCTTTTTTATTATAATCGTCTTAGTAGTAAAATGGTAACTTGCAGTTGTGGTGTATATTTGCCTAATGAACAGTAATATGGAGCATATTTTCATGCATTTCTCGGTTATTTGTACTTGTATGTCTTCTTTGAAGAAATGTCATTTCATATCCTTTGCCCCATCTTAATTGTGTTGTTATTTTATCGTTGAGTTGTAACAGTGATATCTATGCATCGATATGCCCTGGCTTTGAATCCCTTACATGATTTTCTCCTATTCTTTGGGCTGACTTTTCTCTTCTGTTAACTGAATTCTGTTATTAACATTTCTAGGCTCTGGAATTACCACCTGTGCTCTGGGACACTGAAACTTATTGAGTCACAGAATTTTAGGGAAAAGAACAAATATTTACAGCTCATCTTTCCCGAGTTTTATCCATTTTAATCACAGCCGATCAATGGTAATACATTTTGGGCCCTTGTTAAGGTCAGGAAACTGAAGCTCAGAGAGAGCAGGCAGCGTGGCCAGGGCCCGTGGCCCAGCACGAATGGAAAAGGAGGCTGCAGCCCATAGCCCGGTGACTCTGAAGTCCTGGCTTTTTATTCTGTGACTTGTGGGTCCGCCTGTGTCACAATGAGCTGACCCTAGATGCATTGACTTAGAAAATGAAACACTGATCGAAGAAACAGTTCAGGGCCTGGCCTCCGAGACCAATCACCACACGTCACCTCCGCACAAATGAATAGGAATTGTGTGGGTGCCCCCAGCCTGGGCGCTGGCACCGCTGCAGATTAGGCAGCCCGGGTCTCCCCCGAGATGGGGGACAGGTGCTGCAGGGAAGGAGAAGGGCCTTGGACTTCGTCCCGGGAGAACGCGGAGCACCTTGGTCCATACAGCACGGGGAACTTGGACACAGTAGGATCTTGGGACTGCTGTTGGAAACGAGGTCCTTTATTTCAGCCCCCAAATTCCCCTCCCTCTTTGTTGTTCATGGAAAAATAACCAGATAACAGGATTTGGGTGTGAGGGAGGCACCAAGAGACAGATATTCCAGCTCGGCTCTCCTGGGACTCCCAGGTCAGTTAGGAACGGCCTGGGTAGGGGCACGGACTCCACAGCAATCTTCCTGCCTGCCTGAGATGCCCTTTCCTGTTTCAGCCGCCTTAGGGTCCACAGAGGTTGGCAGAACAGAGGGTAAGGACCGGCTGGTTCTGCCTGTTTATTAGGGGGCTTCCCAGGAAGGGTTTGTGCTCTCCAAATACACACTGGGGCTCCTCAGCAATTATCAGGCTGCAAGGGGTGTGAGGCTGGGGTGCATGAGTGGGAGCCCCCGTGCTAATGAGACTCTAATCTCAGTTGCGTTTATCTGATAGTCACTGCCCAGGTGCTGAGTCTGGGGCTCTGAAAGCCGTCTGCCATTGTGGTCCCGCATTCAGGATCTGACGGTGGTGGGGAAGGGGCCGGTGGATCAGCTGACCATAGAGCTGGGTGGCTCAGATGTGGGAAGGAAGCTGGGTGAGCCGTGCCTCTGGGAAGGCAGATCCAAACCAAATCGAGAGGCTTGGGCATCATCCAGGAGAAACTGAGCTTGGAATTTAAAGAGCTATCTTCAATGCAGGTTTTCTGGAAGGGAAAATGTAGCTATCATTACATGCTGTCTCCATCTCCCTCCCAAAACGGGGGTTAAACCCCACGTCTTTGCACCTAGCTACATTCCCAGCTGTTTTTATTTTTATGATTTTAGAGTTTGAGGCAGTGTCTGGGCTTGAATGTGCAGCCTCGGGGCTCACCGCTGTGGTCTGGGCTAAGAACACCCCAATCTCTCTACCCACGCCTGACCTCCATCTTGAGCGCTGGGAGCGCCTTGTGGGGCAGGGTTAGAGTCCTCCAGGACCACAGCAACCTGGTACCTGTGTGACACAGACACTGGGCTCCCCAAGCTCAGTGCCCTCAGACTCACTGACCGAGAAGTGTCCCCGGGACCCCCTGGACTTCACTGCATCACCACATGGCACTCAGGGGCCTGGGACGCAGATATGAGGCTGTTTGCTGGGCTGAGTACAGCACTTTTGTCCTTGACCCCGAGGCTCGTGTCTTCCCCCCATCATGAAGTGGCTCAGGCTGGCCACCAGCACGAGCCGTTTCCAAAATTACTTCACTTGGCTAGCTGAAGGGTGTCCCCGGTGGGTATCAGGGATAATGATACCCACAAAGAACACGGGAAAGCAGTTTGCAGGATCCATTTTGGGTTTGAAAGCTGCTTATGCTTTTGTGACCTAGATGTGTGACCTAGATGTATGTCCATGAATGACAGAGATGATTCTGTCTGGGTGTGGAGCATCCTGAGCGTCCACCCTGTGGTCATTGGGAAGGGGTTTCGAGGGGGCTGAGGGTGTCTCACCCTGGCATCCATGTGGAGCGTGGAGTTGTTCAGTAAACAGCTGTGGACTCCATGGTGGTCTGATCCCCAGGGCTCTGCTGTCCCCATGCTGGCTGGACCTGTGCTTCTTTCTGGGTCTCCCCAGCCAGCTGTCTCCTCTGCTAGACGTGCTCGTCCTCCAAGAGGTGAGGCAAGGGCACCTGGGTCAGAAGCTTTTTCCACGTGGGAGAAAGCGTGATGTTAGCATCCTCTAAGTGCTGGGATTTGGGCTGGGCTGTTCTCGGCCTTCCGTGTGGCACCTGGGTCCAGCTCAGGGCCCGGCCTGTCCCTCCTCCTGGGCTGACAAGTTCCAGCGTGCCCTCCCTGACCCCTGGCACATTGCTATGCGGCTGCCTTGCCAGCTGGCTGCCACTATGCTGGCTGCTGCCTGGGCAGCAGGGGACCTTGACCTTGACCTATTTGCTCTTTGACTCAGGGAACAAGGACAGGGTTGGGCCTTCTTCCCTGGCCTAGGGGCAGACAAGGAAGAAAGAGAAAGAACCAGTGGAAGGCGACAATGCCAATAAAATAGTTTTTCTGAGTCAGAAAGCCCTGGACAGGGTTAGCGCCTCCGGTCTCCTGTACGCGGGCAGGATCACGGTGCGAAGTTTATGGGACAAGTGTCTTTTGTGATTCTGTTGTTTTCTTTTCAGACTCTGCATTTGGGAAACACGCAGATGGGGTTTGAGGGGCTCAGGAGAAGCAGGCCAGGGACCCCAGAGCCGCTGTCTTTGCCTTCTGCTGTGACAGCGCTGCTCCATAAGGAGGGGACCCCGTGCCGCTGCACCAGCTCAGCTCTGGATGGCGTCCCTGTTTAACAAACTGTGTTAATTTTACTAGCGCTTGTTCTTGGCCGTGCAGAGTGGCAGTGGCTTAGGCAATGTGTTGGGCAAATGTGCTAATCGCAGGCTCTGATTTCCTCCCATCTTAAAATAAATACTTAGCATTTTAGTGCTGGGACAGTGAGCCGGATTAGCAGAGCTGGAGGAGTCCCAGTGGCTGCGGCTGCAGTGCTGGGGTGCAGAGCCAATGGGAAAAGGATCTGGGGTGGGCAGTTGGGCAGAGGAGCTCCAGAGAGCCGGTCAGCACGGCCAGGCACATTTGGTCCACGGAGAGCCTTGCCACTTCCAAAGCCCACCTTGCTGGGAACGGAAACTGGAGGGCACGTGGAACCCACGAGGACAGAGGCCGAGCGCACACAGGGGTCTGTCACCAGAGGGGACCCTGCCTCCCCTCTGCCTGCACCTGATTCCCGTCAGAATCAGAGCCACAGAGGCCCCTGGTGCCTCCCAGAAGCACCCCAGAGCTCAGGTCCTCGGAGAGGCAGAAAAGAGGCCGGCTGAACTCTGGGCTTCGCCTGTGCCTCCCAGTGGAGTCCGTGTTCTCTAGCCATGGTCACCTGGCCTACAAAATTGTGACACGAATGCATCTGGGTGGCTTCTGTGTCCCCTGGGCTCGGGGCCACGTGGCATTGCAGAGGGAAGAGAGACCGAGGCTCTGGCCTCCCAGGAGCCCGGCTGCTGGGCCAGGGGAAGCTTGGTGGCATTCTTGGCTTGCAGGGTGGAGATTTCTTAGGAAGCCGCGTAGACCCTCCCTACTCCCTCCCTCGCAGCGCCTGGGTGTGGAGAGGGTGTTTGGAGCGCGTGGCCCCAGGACTGTTTCCGGTCGGGTGCTTCCTGCCTTCTCGCAGCTCTGTGTGACCCTCACGCACCCCGCTTCCCTCCGTAGGGGCTGGGTGCATAGGCCTGGAATCGGCCTTGTTTATTAGAAAGCCTCTGTTCTCCCCTCGAAGACAGGAAGCTCATTAGCAGCAAGCGCACACAATCAACCCTCAGCCCAGGGTTTAAAAAGTCCCTTGAGAAAAAAAATATTTACCGGGAGTGCAATCAGGGCGTAGCCCGACTCAGGGTAGCCGAGCTGCCAGGTCGCAGGCTGCCTGCATTCCAAGGATTTTGAGGTTCCCATGGGGGAAGGCCGGGCCTCTGGGATCCCATCTCGAATCGAGAAATAGCAGGAAATGCTGGGACGAGGCACAATGGAGCGATACTTCCAGCAGCCTGAGGTCCCTGATGTGGGCTGCAGTCTGGGTCAGCCGCTTGCTGCCCACGTGACCCTGGGAAAGTGCCCTGGCTTTGGTTTCCTCAGCTTGAAGGCAGCAATAGTGAGAACCCACGTCCCGTGACTGCAGTGAAATCAGAAACGGGCAGTGTTCGTGCATCACACTGAGTCAGTGCTACGAGATGCCAGGTGCCGTGCAAGGCGTGCAAAGGGAGAAATCCCTGTGCTCACACTCAGTGGGAGGGGCAAACTGTACACGGGTGACTGCACCACAGTACAGACAGATGCATGCGCTAGGCTTTGTGGGCGCAGCAGAGGGAGCTGATGCCCGCTGAGGGTGGTGATGGTGGCCGTCTGGGTGTGGTGGCACTGCTGGGGGTAGCTGCAGCAGTGACAGCATGGTGCATCGGGGTGGGAGGGACAGGGGTGGTGGCCATGGGGACCCTGGGTGTGCTGGGCGTGGCTTGCTGGGAAGGAGGGTGGCAGGGGCGTTGCTGATGATGATGAGTGTGCCACGGTGGGGAGTGGGGATGGTGGTGGAGGTGGCAGCTGGACTAAGGGTGCAGCAGAGGCAGGAGGGTGCTGTGACAGCGGGGGGAGGCTGGTGACCGTGAGGACCACGGTTTACTGTGAGCACCGTGAGCGCAGCAGTCAGGGGGGCGGCAGTAGTTGTAATGATTGTATGGAGACACCAGGGAGTGGCCTGTGGTCAAGATAGTACAGCGTTACGGTTCTGTATCAGTCAGGGTTGGCCAGAGAGACAGACATAACACAAGATGTACAAATGGGTGAGAAATTACCAGCCTGGCTTACAATGGTCAGCCACAGAGTCGGAGGAGGGAGGTGCAGAGGGGGTCTGCACGCTGGAGGCTGAAGGGTCCAGCCCCAGGGCTGGAGCTCACTTCAGTGCCCCGTGCAAGTCCATGTCAGGAGGCCACAGGCTACGACCAAGGCCGAAGAGTCCCAGGCAGAAGCCAAACAGTCTGTGCCAGAAGCCAGGAAATGACGTCCAAGTTCAAGGTGAAGACTGGAGCTCCCCAAAGAACCAGCCATTTTCCTTTTACTGTGCAAGGTGCTCCCCTGGGGTGGGTGCAGCACTCAAACCACCTCACACCCTCCTCTTGTAGAGGCTGAGGATGACCTGGTCCCCTGATGAATCACTTAAAGTCCTGACCTTCTCAGGTTGACCCAATGCACCGTATCCTAGAAGGGTAAGGACTTGTCCTCTGCACCCCAGGACGCAGAGCTGCTGAGTCCCTTGGTGAAGCTTCCGGCTTCCCAGGTGGACCCAGGGTATAAACCGGAGCGGTGGTGTGGGTGCTCCTGGGGGCGGTGGGATCGATGATCCGAGCAAGGATGAAGCACGTGCAGCAGTACTGATGGAGGTGACAGTGTGACCGCGGAGCCACAGCTGCCCTCCGAGTGGATATGATGGTGGCATCTTGGTGCCAGTGCGTGGAGAGGGTGACGCTTTGCCATCAGGATGGTGGCAGCACTGGTGCCGCAGCTCATGGCCGTGTTGCGGAGGTGGAGGTAGAGGAGGAAGAGCTCATGAGGAAAGATGTCCCTGGATGGAGCAGTCGAGCCAAGTGTGACAGATGAATGCCCAGCTGGGGACACAGCAGGGACCTTGTAAATGCAAACTCTGCCTATGAGACTTTGCTGATGGGTAGGGGGCAGGGAATGAGACAGGATGCCCGGCAGTCACCACCCCGGAGATAACTGAGGAGTGGGGGAAGGCAGGGCCCACAGGAACAGAGAAGGGGGCTCCTAACTGCGTGTGGGGAGAGCCGGGCTCCTGTAGAGCTTCCCGGGAGAGCTAGCACTGTCTCAGCTGCTGGACACAGAGCACGAGTGAGTGATCCAGGCAGAAGCAGCCGTGGACAGAGGCAGAAGAGGGAAGGGGAGGGGAGTAGAGGTACACGGGCCGCTGTCCCGTGGCTGAGGCAAAAATATCTGACACCCACAATTTCATTTTTTTGTTTTGAGAGGAAGTCTCATTGTGCAGTTCAGGCTGGCCTTGAACTCACAGCAACCCTCCTGCCTCAGCCTCAGAGCACTGGGATTGCAGGTGTGTGCCATCACGCCCAGCCTGACTCCTCTGATTTAAAGGAGGAGAGGCTGACTTTGGCTCATGGTTCCTGAGGGTCTAATTCGTGCATCTCAACAGGCTCCGAGGCAGAAATGTCACGATGTTGGAGAGCTGTTCACTCAGCAACAGGAAGCAGACAGAAAGCAGAGATGGAGAAGTAGGGGACAAGATGACGTCTTCTGGGTCTCACCCCAGGGACCCGCCTCTTCCAGCATGGCCCCACCTTCTACCAGCAAGTCAGCTGCAAACCTCTAAAACCCAGAGAGCAGGGTGCTCCGGGAGTCTGCCTGTCTCTGAGATCCTGCTGCAAGCAGGACTGTGTGGCAGGGTCCAGAGGGGCCAGGCTGTGTCCCCCAGTTGTCCTAGGGGGAGGCCAGTCTGCTTGGGGGAGCACTGAGAGCTCCCCAGACAGCAGACACATGCAGCCTTAGCTGTCTCCTGGTCTGATTCCTCCCCTCGGGACGACGCTCCGTTTACAGCCATTATCCCAGCTCCCGTTCCTTATTTCCAGATGGGGCTGCTGTGCCCCTGCAGTTGGAAATCCACAGAATCACAGGGAAAACGCAGCCTGCCCCTGCCACTCCATCCCGGGAGAGCCCGATGGCTGTCCCAGCCTAAGCACAACACCCTCTAGACAGACTGAGGCACGGGACCTGTCTGGGCTTCCTGACATCTTTAATAGCTCTGAGGGCCTGCGTCCCGTCTGCTCATGGGCTCATTCTCAAAGTCAAGGGCAGTATCAGGTGGAGGCAGTGCTATGTGGGACGGCAGGTTCCACGTGGCCTGCTCACCGCCTGTCCCCAGCATCGGGTGTTTGATTCATTTATTGCGCTGTGCGTCTAGGACTTCAGGCAGTGGCCGTGCTAGAAGACGGAAGCCAGAAGCCCAGGGAGGGGCCGAGCTGCCCAGGACATCTGCTGTGTGCTTAGAGCTCAGCTCTTTCCCGCCATTGCCATCAAGAGCTTCCCTGTCACCATGGTTACCGGGGAGGTAAGTGGTTTATTCCTGGTTACTGGGGAGCAGAATGGGGACTCACACTCATGGTGCCACCAGCTGGCATAGATTCCCTTCCCTTCTCTCCGCTGGGTGTTATGGTGGTCATCTTAACGCCAGCTGGATTAAATCAGCGTGGTGCTGGGCATAGATGGCCCACCTGAAGAAAGCTGCCAGCACAAAGGGAGACGTGGAGAAGACGAGTGAGGCCTTGTGGGTTTCTCTAAGGGTTGCTGTTTGAGGCGTTGGTTCTCCTGGAGGAGCTCTCATGACCAGCTTCCCCAGTGTGAGCTCCACCATTGTCATCGGAGGAGCTCGGGACCTTGTTGCTGAGAGTGGCTGTGGTTCACTTTGGGGAGCTCTGGTCCTTACATCAAGCATCGCTTCCTGGCTCCGGAGGGGAATACGTGTGCCACTTGGTCTCTGGGATGAACTCATCATGCTGGCTTCCTGGCAGGTACCCGACTGTTCTTATCATCGTAGGAGCTCGGGACCTCTGTGTTGCTGAGGATGGCTGTGGTGCTTTCAGGACAGCCCTGATCTTTGTTTTGAGCATGACTTCTCAGCTCTAGCATGGAACCCTCAACCTACCAGCACAGCTCCTTCACCCCGCTGGCATGGACTTTCTGGCTTCCACCGCTGAGCTCTGGGCCTTCCCAGGGTAGATCCGTAACGCAGACTCATGTGAGACCTCGATGGCTCCAGCTGGACTGGTGGGAGGCTGTCATGGGCTCTAGGTCTTCATCTGGACTCCTGCAGGACATTGCTGTGGGACTCAGGCCCTTGGCTGAATATTCTGTGTCTTTGGTGCTGTGCACAGATTTCCTGCACTTGTGTTAACTCTGGGTGACCATCATAAATAATATTATGAATTCTGTGTCCTGGTAACAACCGTTCTCCTCACGACCCCTGACCACAACACTGGGACTCTGTCATCTCCTGCCACACGTCCTCCTGACTGTAACGCCTTGTACGCCTACCCGAGAACCCCGGCTATCAGCTGGCACCAAGAGGGTCAGTGGGAGAGAGGAGCACTCTGGACCCAGTGAGAGGCGGGCCAGCTTCCTGGTACCGAGGAGCAGGTGCAGGTCGATGTCTCTTTCTGGTACACCTCCTGGGGACACTGGTGCTGGTGCAGAAATCTTTGCCCCAAGCCTGAGTCTGAAACTTGACACCATCCAGGCGCAGAGCAGGGGCCAGGCATGAGCAGCCTGGTGTGAGCGAGAGGCAGGGTCGCGCTCTCCCTCCTGCAGCTGCCAGCTCGGCCCCTGGTGCAGGCCCAGTGCCCAGAGGCTTCTCTAGGCCCATCTGGCTTCTCTTCTCCCAGTGCCCTGGCTCTCAAGGGACTTGGGGCTGTGGTGTTGTCATCTGCTCTGTCTCTTTTGTTTTCCCTGTCAGAATCCAGCACACCCTGGTGTCTCTCATGTTAATATTTAAGAATATTTTTATTAGTTCATTTGCTACCTTCATTTCATTCCTGTACCCTCCACTCCACCAGGGCACAGAGGAAAACCTGAAGAAGTCACTTAGCTGTGAGCTCATGATCAGATGGGTTAGCCGAGCCGGCCTCAGTGATACCAAGCCCTGGGATTTCAGTCTCTAAGAGGCAAAGTGTCCTGAGGTCTCGAGTCCACACCACTGCGGGAGGGAGGAGCTGGCCGGGGGAGCCCACTGCAGGTGGCTGCACCTGTGATGTGCCCTTAGGACCAGCAGGGCCTGTGGTGCACCTCTGTAATCCCAGCACTACGGGAGGCTGAGGCAGGAGGATGGCAGGGTGGAACCCGGTGTGTGCAACTTTCTGACCTAGCAAGGCCTTGTCTCAAAATAAAAAAAGTGCTGGGATGTAGCTCAGGGTGAAGGTTCTGGGTTCAATCCTCACCCTGAGAAAAACAAAGGCTGCAGAAAGAGGGGAAGAAATGCAGGACCAGCTCACACCCCAGCAGCCAGCACGCAAGCTGGTGAGCAGAAGGGGCATTTTGCTCTGTGTCCTCGGCATGAGCCAAACCCCCAACAGAAGCAGAACCCTGAAATTACCTTTACATCGTAGTCTTGCTTATTTTTATATTTTTGCTGCATACACATGTAACTCCAGATGATATATTCTTTAGCTTTGCCTGTTTTTTGAACCATGTGCAGTGGTATCACGTAGACTTCTTCCATTTGATTTTTTTTTAACTCGGCCACGTTTCTGAGAGTCATACCTGACAGAGGAGGTGATGGCTTGCTTTATAGTTCATCTTCACAGCTGTGTAATATTCCACATAGAGACTACCTCATGTCATGGGTTTTTTCCCTGTTGATGACTATTCATAATAGTTGGGGCGGGAAGGAGACGCTATTTACAAAGGTGACAAAGGTCTCTGCTGCTGCTAATTTTATGTGTCAACTTCACTCAGCCTTGCTGACTAGGTTTGTGGAAAAATGGTGTATTTCAGGGAGGGTGTTTTTGCCTGGAATCACCCAGGTGGGTGAACTTTGTGGGACACCCTGTGTGGCCTGGCTGGCCTCCCGTGGTCAGCTGAAGGCTGGTCTTGACCACAGGGAATTTCCACCTCTGCTCTGGGACTTCAGCAGCGATCCTCACAGTGGCAGGCACCAGCCCGGCAGCCCTCCAAGATCAATGAGCCAATGTGTTAATATCAACACACCCATCTCTCCCACACCCTGGATCCACATCTGGAGACACTGACCCACGTGGTACTTTCTTTCTCCGGCGCAGAGCGGTGCTGGCCCCTCTGCTGTCCAGGGTTAAGACGCCTGCCGGGTAGAGCTTGCTCTATGATGCGTCTCCAGAGGACGTTTATGTGAGGAACAGCAGTTGCTGCTGTACTGACACCTTTCTGGTGGTTCACAAGCCCGAAATCAGCACTGACAAAATGTTTAGTGGGACCACGTTTCCTCCTCGGAGTTCTGAACCCAGGTCTTCTCCTGTGGACTTTCTGGTCTGAGCGCTGTTTATTCTGAGTATTTTTTTTCCTGCTAAGTTGTAAGTTGTCATTTTATGAATTTTTCTTCAGGGTCTCTTTTGATGCCAAAACTCTGAATTTTGTTCACTGGAATTTTGATACTGGCATTCTTACGTTAGCGGAGTTGAATCCATCTTCATGATTTGTATCTTGCTGGAGAAAGTCTTCCTGCTTTGGGTCATCGAGATGATCTTTCAACATTTCTGGAAAGAATTTCAATCTTCACCTTCACAATTTAACTCTTAATCAATGAAGTTAATTTAATTTTTGTTGTAGAGAGATTTTTTTTGCTGTACTCTGTGAGGCAGGGATACCTGTGTGTTTCCCATTTTATCCTTGTGGCTTATTCTTGGTGCAGGTTCTTCTGCATGCATTTTTGAGTTAGTATAGATCAAAAGAAATTAAATGCCCTGTGTAATGTTGATTGGGATTACATATAATCAATTAATCACATAAAGCTTACTTGACTTTTAAAAAATATCTTTCATTCCATAAATACGGTTACTTCTTTCACATATTTAGGGTTTGTTTAAATCAGTTAATTTTTTTACACTAAGCTTTGTTATTTCTCTCAGACGCATTAGGCTTTTCTTGCTGTTGCATATGGTGTGCGTATGTGTGCATGTGTGTGTACACTGTTACATTGTGTATGAATGTGTATTGTACATGTATACATTTTTTCTTTTAAAAAACTCATCACAGAATTGAGAAAACAAGCAAAAGTGGGTGAAACAGTAAAACAGATTGAAGACGTCAGTCGCTGCGCTGGGGAACCGTGAATACGGACTGGCCTCACGCACCTGTAAGCCCGGCCTTCCCTCCCCACCGCGGGTTAGGGAAGCAGGACCCGGGTGTGCCGGCTTCTGTCTGCAGAGTCCCCACGTCTGTAAGTTACTTTCCAGCCCTCGTGCTGGTGAGCAGACGTGGCAGTGGGCTTGGGAGGTCACGATCTCTCTCACTGGTGGCGCTGATTCCTCTGTGGGTGCCAGGGGTGCCCCACGCGGACAGTGGTGCTGCCAGCTCACACCCAGCTGGTCCCTTCCTTCCCCCCTGTGCCTTTACTTACCTCTCCGGGCGGGTCACACGGTGACCTCAGAGCGGTGTACCGGGAGGCCACGTCCTCGTCTTTGTCCTGGCTGTCACGGGCACGGTTCTGGTTCTGATTCTCACAGGCGAGGCGCTGGCTGCAGGGCTGAGGGCCCCTCTGCCAGGCTGCGCACCGCTGCTGGGCCGTCGTCCTTGTCGCTCTGGTTGTCCCACTTTGAACGAGCGCGGGCTCCACTCGCAGGCTCTGCTGTCTGCGTGGAAGGGCCGTGGCTCCGCGGGCGCCTTAGAGCTCAGCCTTAGCGTTTTCTACTGCAGACCCGCCGCTGCGGCAGGGACCGAGTCTGATCTCAGGAGCCTCACGGGGGGCTCCTGACAGCTCCGGGGTCCCCGCTGCTCTGTCCAACACCGGGGACCAACGCTTACTCCGGACACACAGGATCCGTCCTCCCCTTTGTGGACAGTGGGGAGGAGCGTCATGTGGCTCTTCCAGCTGTCCCGGGCCTGAGTCTGGCCGATTTGGCGGCCAGCCCCATCACTGGTCTCCTACCTCATTTCTTCTTCTTTTTCTTTTGTCTTGCTTTGTTCTGCTTTGTGTTTTTTCAGACAGGGTCTCACTACGTATTTCAGGCCTTCAGTTCACTATCTAGCCCAGGTCAGACCTGAACCTGTGGTGACCCTCCTGCCTCAGCCTCCCCGGGTGCTGAGATTTCAGACTGAGATCCCCCACTCGCCTCTCACTCCTGGCCCTGGGTTTCTTTCTCTGTGGGAAGGGGTGCTTTGGCTTTTGTTCCAGGGACCCCCAGGTTTAGAAGATGAATTTCTTCTTTCAGTCTAGCAGACTGCGGAATGGCACCGACGAAGTTTCTGATGTTGTTACTCTTGAGGTCCTTCGGTAGATCAGCCTGGTTACGAGGAATAAGGAATTTAAAAGTACAGAGCCCGCGCCAGTTTGCTGTTCCACATTCTGGAAGCTTCACGCTGTGTTCAGGAGCAAGGCGGTGTGCAGTTTTTCCTTTTAAAACTCTCTTTGTCCACTTGTAATGTCATTGGTATGTCAGCCTCATAAAATAGCTGTGGGGTGTTCTCTGTTTTTCCTTCCTGAGAAGGGATTCTTGAATTTGAATATCTGAATGGCTTGTTCCTTGAAAGTTTATAAAATGTACCTATAAAACCCTCTGGGCCCAGTGTTTATTTTCAGAAAGATTTATATTGCTGGCGAAGTTTAGAAGATTAGACAGGGTTTCTGTTTCTCCATGAGTTAGTCCTGGTTGCCTACTTTCTGCTAGGAATTTACATATTTTAATCAATATTCCCAGATTTATTAACATTAGATACCCACTTTGCAGCTCTGGAGTGGTTTTATCCTCTTTCATTTCTACTATTGCTTAATTGGATCAATTTTATATTGTCTTTTAAACAATATTGGCAGGCCCGGTTTCCTTGTGTCTTTAGCTTTCCCTGAAAGACACTGTCAGCTGTGCTGGCCCTGTTTGGTTCCTGTTAAATGCCGTGCTGACATTATTCTATTTGCTTTACAGTCTTCTTGACAGGTTGCTAATCTCATTGATTCTAATAATTTCTTCTTTCTTAAGGCAAGTGGTGGAGGACACACACACACAGTTCCTTCAAAATATTCTAACCCTGCACTACGTAGGTTCCGACACGTTTCGCCATTGTGATTGGGCAGTATGTGCTTTCAAACCCATTTTAGATTCTATTTTTCCCCATGAGTAATTTGTAAGTCTATTTTTTTAACTCCCAGAGTTTTTCAAATATTTAGCTTGCTACCGGTGTCTAGCTTAATCGCGGTGTGACTGGGGAACAGCTGGTATGTGGCCCTCGTTCTCCAGCATTTATTG